CTACCAGTGTTTTGACGAAGACATGTTTTCTTGTAGTGTATAATATATATATATATATGTCTTAAATATTTTAATGTAGAAAAAAAACAAAATGTTTCAGTTACGTTGATCCTTACTTGTATGTCAATCCCCTACACATCATTGAGTAACAATGAGTCAATAAGCAAAAGGTTCATAGAAAATGACAAAGTAATGAATTGTTTCCATAATGGCCATCTAAGATTAGAAGTTGCATGATAATGTAGTTCACACGAGACCACTACTTTTTAGACCTACTTTAATTAGCTTTATAACCCAATATTAGCGTTATATGATGATGAGTTATCAGTTATGATGCTTTTTCCAAAGTAAACTATACACTTGTCATTTTCTGATTTCTATATATATGGCTTTAATTAGATTATTCAAATTTCATGCTATTCCAACTTTTTTCATTACTCTAGTGGAATTTCCAAGTGATGCATACTGCATACATCATACTCTTCCCTCCCTACTCTATCAGGCTATCAATATTTTTTTCACTGACCTCGTGATATAATCAGCAGAATATTGTTGTGCTTGTGCAGTGTTATGAAATCCAAATTTATAGTTTTAGGTGCTATATTTTGTGGAACAGCAACAAATATCGCCAAACGTTAGTTTTAAAATTAATTAGAGATCAGCAAGGTTGGTCCAATAAGAAGATAATATAGTGGTAATATTATAATTATTATTATATTAAATAATTTAGTGACCCTAAAAACCATATAAAAAATGGCGGTCTTTAGGGGTCGCTTAGCCCGCTTGTCATTTGAGGGTGGAAATATGGAATTGTATAGTTCAGAGTTCCAAATTTTATCTGATTAAGAGACAAAAAAAAAATTTACAACAAATTATTGTAATATAACAAAATTTTAATATACTAGAAACTTCTTAAAAATTTGTTACAATGGAAATAGTTTGTTGACCGATGCCAACTCTATAAACCGAATCTATAGAAGAAGCCCTATGAGAGTTTGCTTATGATCAATAAAATATCACAACTTTAAATTTTTGATGAATCTGAACTCTCTCGGCTTCGCATGGTTTCTTTTTTTCTTGGTGTTTATCTTAAACTTATCACAGTCTCCTCATACCCAAGTGGTGTCTCTTGTTCCATCTTTCGATCTCGTATCCATTCCATCACTACGTGTAAACAAGGAGAGTCCCTGTCGGCAAATTTTTTTCATAACGCCATCCCCTCCACCTTGTAGATCCATCCCGAAAATATAAATGCACTTCAGTAATATATATATATATATATATATATATATATATATATATAGTCAAATCAATTCTTTTAAATCTTTTTACATGCACCACCAAATACCAAAAATCCAAATATTACAGTTTAGATAGATCCACTTAAGTGGTGACAATTTTATTTCAGAGAGAAAATAAGACTCTAGTCTTTGTTTAATTTTATGGCGTCTCTTCGATTTAATTTTTTCTTGTTCTGATTTTGCTTATCGGATATATACATTTAAAATCAAATTCAACCATCTGTAATTTGGTTTAAGTCAGTTTAGTTCGGTTGGATTTGGTTTCAGTTTGGACTCAGCTTACTTTAATAAGTTGAGGAAAATTTTATTCAAATTATAAAATTCTTAAAAAATTAGATCTATTGTATATATATATATAGATATATGTATATATATTTTTTTCATTCCTAGTTAAAGTTGATCAACAACACTTTATTTTTTAAAAGCTGTGATGCACTGTCTTTTTAGTGTTTGTTCTAAAATCATTTTATCTTTATTTAGTTAAGCCACGAACTATAAGTCGACACGGAACAATATAAATAGTAATAAGGCATAATACTTGCAAACAAAACGGCGATGAATGTGGCCAACAAAGGTCCCATGCACAGTCTCAATCTACCTATCTACATAGTTATTTTCAACATGTCTCTCGTTATTTATTATAAAAATCATAAGTCGTCAGCGTCTTTAACTATATACGTAAGTACCTTTAGATATGTACTTATTTCGGTCTTCGCCTATTTTTATTTCGGTGTTTGATGGGTAGTTTTCCGAGGACTACGATAGTATTATGGAGTGCAGGTCTAATCCATGCATATTATTCAAATATAAGAATTTTAAACTAGTTCATAATGTAAAGATGAATATTGATGTTTAGCGTAACTTTTGAGACATGGCGATACATGTATTAGCTTCCCCATCAAAATATTTTACTGCTCCTAAAAGCTTGAAGAGGAATAGAAACTTTATTTACCTTGGTTGACAAGATAAAAATATTTTGTTTTTCCGCGTTACAAAACATGTATGTATAAGTTTTCTAGTGCCTATCACAGCTGCCGCGTGCTAGGTGTGATACAATACAATCAATGCCATGAAATATTGGTTGAACCCTAGGATAGTAAGAGACTTATTTTACTGGCTTAACAAATCACAAAATATTTCTTGCAGACTGAGGGAAAAATATATATATATATATATATGTTTCATCAACAAATGGATCGGTAAATCCAATAATAGTATCCATAGATGCTACGATCTGGAAAATCAAGACGCGAATCAAGCCCTAGCTTCCCATCTGCTTTAGACTCCCTTAAGCATCTGCAATCACTCCCTCTTTTTCCATACGAGTGATCGGCTGAGTCGTTCTTCTCTTCTCTTTTTGATCGTCGGTTCATCTCCGTTAAAAAAAATTCTTTGGTTTACACTTGAGTTCCTTCTTTATTTGGGTCTGTAACTTTCTGACTGCCTGAGTTGTCAAACTTGAGTTATTCTCCTCTCTTTCTGTATGCTATTTTGGGAGACTCGAAAGACGTGTTGGGTAACTAAGTTCATCATGAGATTATTCTCCGTGTTTTGTCCTCATATGTCATATCCACAGTATCGGGAATCACTTTTGATAGGTCATCCATCCTGAATTTTTTTTTAGTTTAAGCAGGTACAGTGGAGTTCTCTCAGGATTTGTTACACAAAAGATAAGTGCATTTAATTATATAAGATAGGCAAATCAAATTTTATAAGTATTTCCAGATGCACCACCATATCCCAGAAATCAGAGTATTACAGAGTTAATCTTTATGGGATTTCTCTTTATGTTATAGCTTAGACCCGAAAACAATATTTGGCTCGACTGTTTTATTTATTTATCTAGAAAATAGCAATTCTTTTATAAAAGAATATATACATGTATTAGTTTTGATGGGGGAAACAAGAACAGACTGACTTGTCTCAAATTAATTTGGTTATCTATTTCTTTCGAAAAAATATAGTAGTACAAAAAAGAAGAAAAGACTTTTGATGTGTTGCTGAGTGAAAGTAGACATTTCCTCGTTCCCCAATTATCTCCATGGTTCTGCTGACCCACTTCTATTATCTTTTCCCATACATATGATAATACACATATTGACATATACATAGATTCATTCGTAGATTTTAGCAAAAAAAGTATTATCTAGTAATAAATGTTGACCCAAAAAATACTAAGTTATTCATGAACGGATCATATGTATGCGCTGCCATATATTTAAACGTGCGTACATCTCACATGATAAGATAATACCATATCTGTTATAATCTACTTTCACTTTTACTATACAAATGGCTAAAGGTATGAAAACATAAAAGTATAAAAGATTCTTTTAAATACATATACGGAATTTACACAGTAAATTTCGAGCAACGAGAATTAACAGAAAAGAAAAAAGATTATGTGGTGGCCTATGGCAACTCCATACAAAATATCTTTATTGATTATCTGGATTTATGATCGTCTTAACCCTAATTTCATGTATTAAGGCGGGAACTCCGATTTTGATTGGATGCACATTCATGTCATTCATAATTATGGTGGTTGAATGTATTAATAACTAGGGATCTACAATTTTGATTTTGGTAACTTACATTATTTGCGACATATGCATGCCCCATGGCTCCCATATAGAATGCATAAAGTTGAAGATAATGGTGATAATAAAACAAAACATAAAAGATAACTAATGGTGATAAATGATATACAAGAAAATTAAATATCAAAAATGATTTAACAGTTTTTCTACATTTCCATGTCTTAAAAGTACCCATTCTATCTTTTTTATTAATCATTATGAATATTTATCAATTTTTATAAAAGCGATTTCACTATAGATAATGCTGCGATATAAATATAATGAGAAAATCAAATGTTACTAATCTTTTTTTCAGCACACTAGATTATATTAAATCGATTTAGAAATCTAAAGACGTATGTTGATCTACAAAAATAGTATTTCATAAGAACAATATACAAATCCGCATTAGATTTCAAAAAATATAGAATAAGAAAGAGAGAGAAAAAGAAATCATCCATGATATTCACAAACTCATAAAACATTATTAATCTAGTAAAACTAGTTTTAATATTTTATAATTACTATGCGGAAACTCTATTTAAGTAATAAGTGTATGCTATTCGATTATGTATCAACTATTTTCTTAGCTACCGTACCATACCATCAAGACCAATCTATGCATCTTGCCGAAGTGAAAGTTCGACAATACAAAGAAAACAAACTGTATATTTAATAGTATTTACTTGCTTCAACCTTTATTCAATATTATTCCAGAAACAAAAATTTCACCCAAAGAAAATCATTCACACATACATATTTCTGAAGACAAACTATCATTTTCTTTTTTTGGTCAACCAAAAAACCTATCAATTTCTTTGCGTGTAACTTTTTGTTTGTTTGTAATTCTATAATGCAGATATGTAATTTCCCGTTCATATGTCATGTATGATGGAAAAAGCATCATTTTAAGAGAAATTTGTATAGGATTGGTGATTAGTCAATGAGCATTGAAATTCGAAACAGCACAAGAAAAAATAATCGTGAGTGTCACTGTTTAGTCGTCCAATCACATAAAGATAAGAAATCATACATTTCCCATTTCTGAAAAGTCCAATCATATTTTGTAAATGCGTGTATGTCCTCATATTATAAATCGCTCTTGGACTTTCTAGTTGACAGGTCATGGAAGCAGAGGACTCACACCTATAATTTGCAGCTCATCATTTCCAATAATAAAACGGGTAAATAAACTTCTTGACGTGCCCCATATTCTTAATTTCATCATTTCTGCTTATCTTTTATTTAGTATGTCTTTGCGTTTTCTTCAAGCAAAAATAGATAATATTAGATCCATTTAAACTGGCTATAATCTAAGGTTGTTCTTCAATTGCTCGTTTTGTTGAGGCTATATATTTATTATTGTCAAATTGTTGTTATTTAATTTCTCATAATATATATACATGTAGATTGAGGTGACAAAATAATGGCTGCTTTCTTCCATGGAGAATCTGAAATGAGAGAACCTTCTTCTGATCTTTTTATGATGAATCTGAATCCGTTCTCCGACCCGACAACGACCATTAATGATCATAACCATCACTTATACAACATGTGCTTCGGGTCCCAGCACCATCCACGGCGAGTGAGCAAAGATGAAGTAGGTCTTATCGAAGAAGGGAACTCTTCGATCTCCACGGTTTCAAACAGAGGAGTAACGCAAGGCTTCAGGGTTTTGGATCCGACCTACTTGAAAGCTGCTCAAGAATTGCTTAATGAGAATGTCAATGTTGGATATGGTTGCCGCGGCGCCAAACAAGAGCAAGAGATGAATAAAGAGTCGGTGATTTGTGGAATGAACTATGGAGTTGGGGACATCAACGTTAGCCATAAACCCGGCGTGGCTGGTTGTCGGAAAGAGTTGCAAATGAAGAAAGCAAAGCTCATCTTGATGGTTGAAAAGGTAACTCTTTATTTTTATACGGGTATGTGCCTATGTAGACAAATTTGAAACGTTTGCCTACAGGGTATGTTTTTTTTTTTGGTTAAAATGGTATACCTTTAATTTTTCTTATAAGAATATTAGGTGTAAAGATTTACAGTAATAATAATACTTTTAAAGGTTAGAAGAAAAAATTAAGAATTAAAATTAATAACTAAGAAAAAATAGGATTACTAACTCATTCATCTTCACGTCATATTCAAGGCCATTCATCATATTAAAACAATAAATATATGTTAATTTTAATTATTTTGGAATGAAGATGGTTATTACTTAGCAAATTTTGTCATATATGAATTGAATTTTTTATACACTGTTTATGTGCTTCGTAACTCTAGGCACAACTATATAAATATACATGCCGTAAAGCAAGATAACATATTTCTATTTACAAACTAATCAAACATAGTGGTACTTACATATTAATGAAAAAAATGTTTTTTGTTTGTTCGAGTTCCCCAATCGAGTTTAATTCATTGTGCTTCCTTGTTAGCTATCGTAGTAGAATTCATTTGAAAGAATATCGATTTTGTTTAGAATTAGTGTGAGACATGAGTCAGGATTTATTCGGGTATTTAAATATAATATTTACGTGAAAAAAGAAGCAAAAAATTTCTGTGTTATTGATTTTCCTGATAAATAAAGTTTTCAAGATTGGTAACTGATTTAAGAAATGATTTTGGGTAAATTACACAGGTTGAACAGAGATACAAGCAATATCATAACCAAATGCAGACTACAATCTCATCGTTTGAGAAATCAGCGGGTTTAGGCTCAGCAAACTCGTACACACATATAGCGTTACAAACGATATCAAAGAAGTTTCGTGCTGTAAAAGACATGATATGTTTGCAAATCAAACACATAAATAAGTTGTTGGGAGAAAAAGAATGTGAAGGTTTGAATTTAGCTCACGAGCAGCATAAGCAGTTAGGGAAGATGACACATAACCATTGGAGAACGCACCGAGGTTTGCCTGAAACAGCTGTTTCCATTCTCCGCGCTTGGCTCTTTCAGCATTTTCTTCACCCGTAAGCAAAATTTATCTATATTTTGATTTTAGTCAATAAATATCATATGAATAATTTAGCTAATTCAGATTTTAAGCTCAAAATCAATTGATAATAAGTGGATACTCTACTTATCATCTTAGACATTCTTACAATGAAACCTTGAAACCAATGAAATTGTTTGAATGTACATCCAATCAATTAGTTGTTGCTTGTTTTGGATTTGTATAGATATCCGAGGGATTTGGATAGAGAAATGCTTGCCAAACAGACTGGCCTTACTAAGAGTCAAGTAAGTTTCGGCGATTACTTTTTATGCACTCTAACATAATTGAAATATTTTAGAAATATAAAAATGTTGTAGTAGTAGAACTACAAATTCTGTAAGAGAAGTATATATATAAATATATATATATGTATATCAAATTTTTAAGTATTTACTTACTCATTTTAATTATCAATAGTTTGACATACTTTTGTTGGTTATGCTAGTTTTTTCATAATACAAATACAATGTTCATAACAATGGCTTACAAATACCAACGAGAAAATAAAATGAAAGATAAAACATAAAATATTACTTTTAATAAATTATCTTCTGATGAATATTGTTTCTAAGAAAAATGATAGTAAAAATAGGCAAATCAAAATATTCTAAATGCTACAAAGAATTTTATAATACAAGAATTGATTTTGCATCTTTGTGTAAAATAACTGTAGGTTTCAAATTGGTTCATAAATGCTCGAGTCCGAGTGTGGAAGCCAATGGTGGAGGAGATGTATTTTGAAGAAATGATTTTTGAAGAGGGCAGAAATCGAGGAAACCTCAATGAATATAGTAACAAAGGTTCATCCTCTAAGCAACCTTACTATAATACAACTTCAGATGAATCTTCAAACTCGATATTACCCGTTTATCATCAAGGATACTATGAAAATGAAATCTCTATGCCAAACTCATCCTCAAGTTGCCGCCTAGTGACGTTTAAGAAGCAATACAAAAATCAAGCTAACTTGATCCATTTCCATGGAGGGTTTGAAAACTACCACGCAGTGGTTGGAAAAGATGTCTCCCTTTCGCTTGGCCCGCATCACTCGTGCGACCAAACTGTCAACATCATTCAGTTTGGATCGACAGGTAATGGAACTGAGATCTCGGGCATATATCCCTCGTTAACATATCAAATCATGAATTAGATCTTGATAGATAACATATATATTGTCTGCTTAATGCCTGTATTTCTTGTGTGTATATTAGTATATAGCCTTGGTTCATGGGTGGTTTCATAGGGATGGATGTGTATAAGATAGACATATAGAGGGAAAGACTCAAAATATATGGTTTGATAAAAATGTAGATACAATACTTAGCTTAGAAACTAGATAAAGTATGGTGTTAATTGGTTTTCTATAGTAAGATTTTATTTATTATTGTTATGGAGATGGTGATCAATATGGTGATCAGCTTTTACTTGTGTCTTTAAGAATGTGTCGTGTGTGTAAATGTGTCCACAGCAGCCGAACTATCATTTCTTATGCAAGCCTATCTATATGAGTTTCTTTGTTCTTTTATATAAAAATCCCTATGTGACGCATCCATAATAGAGTTATCAGTTGAGATTTCTTCTGGAATTTGTTATCGGAGTTCATATTTTGTTTTTAGAAGATGACTGCTATTATAAATATCTTCATTGTTGGGAAATAGGTTAAAAGAGAGATGAATATGAAAACCGACCATTTGTTATTATTATTGAGATATCAATCCAAGCAGGGCCAGCCCTGAAATTTTGGAGGACTTGAGCAAAACAAAAAAACAAATTTAGGGGTTCTTTCAAAGCAATTAAAAAAACAAAAACAAATTTTAAAGCTTTAAGAAATTGGGGGCTTATTTGTATATTATTTTTAATCATTTAGTCTTTGGTAAACTTAAAAAAATCTAGGCCAATGTTTCTTCTAGCTGTGCTTAGACATTTGGAAAAGAACCCACAAATAAGATCTCTTATGTGTTTGGTCACTAAACCCAAAACAGAGTATTATATTAAAGGAAAGTTGAACATGAGCTGAAAAGGCCTAACAATTAGTATTAGAATCTCAATTCATAAAAATAGACATAAAGTAGTGAGTGTAGACTGCATTTTTATCGTGGGAGCTATGTGAGAGTTAGGAGTTCTCAAAATAACCTTGCAATTTGATATATCATGGTTTTTATGGTTTTTAACCATGGTATATGTCTTATTTATAGAGTTTTTCTAGTGTTTCTTGAGTCTTTTAGAGTTTTTACAGATCATAGGTACGTTTGGAGCTTAACTGGAGATTTTGGAGCACTTTGGAGCTTAATCAGGATCAAATTCGTCAAGGATGAATCATGTGCTTTAGTGTCGCTCGACACCATGGAGAGTGACGCTCGACACTTGTTGCAGAAATAAGGAAAACGTGATTTTGTTTCCTATTTGAAGAAGGAGTTGGGCCCAAAAGTCTCCAATAATTACAAGGAAGCCCAAAACGTGTTTTTAAGTTATAAATAGGGTTTTTAGCCACCTTATATCGATACCTTAGATTTTCTGAGAGATAACTTTTGTTTTTGAGAGCTTTTGGGGAGACAAGTCTGAAACTCTGTTCCGGAGAGAGAAGATTTTGAACCCCTGTTTATTAATCTATTTACTGCTTACTGCAATCTATTCATTCATGTTTATTGCTTCAATCTTCATGTCTGAGTAGTTTGTTTGTTAGGTTTAGGGTTCTCATAAAGGATTTTCTCTGGATGTTTGATTAATTGATTAGGTTAGGGTTCATAATCTATTTAGTTCTTCACCATAGGTTGTTCTTAAAGCTAATTCTGGACTGGCCACCTAGAACTTAGATCTCAGGTTAGTTGATTGACACGGAAGTGTAATTGAATAACTGGAAAGAACCTAGGGTGAGCAAAGTAGCTATTCGCAAAGGAATTTGGTTTAGCTGCTTTGTGAACATATCAAACTTGTGCTTAAAGCTGGTTTATGTCTTTAGGATTTGCAAAGGAATTTGGAATTCTGAGATTTAGACTTAGATAATTCTCGCAACGGAAGTTGGTTAGTTATAATTTCGTGATTTGAGTTCAAGAACCGTGCTTAAACCTGAGCCCTGATTAATCGATTGTTCTGCATTCATTGATATCCTGAGAAACGCCCTAGACCTAATCTCCACCCATCTGAACTTTACAAACGTTTTTACTGCATTCGTTTATCTTTATTTGCATCGCTATTTGCTTCTCATTAATCTATTTAGCCTCATTCAATTCCTAATAGGTTTATTGAGCGAATCGCTCGTCTCTGTGGTTCGACCCCTACATACTACAATTGCACATCTGTGCTCTTGCAGAGTAGCTCTAGGGATTAAACTTTGAGCAGATCAAGTTTTGGCGCCGTTGTCGGAGACTTGATTTTCGCCATTAAACTTTAGTTCTTGAGTTTCGACTAAGTTTTTCTTAGTGTCGAGCGACACCATTAGTAGTGTCGCGACACACGTCGTTTTTCTTAATTTGATTTTTACTTTGTTACTTACATTGTTCTTTCTCTTTGTCTCAGAAACCAGCAGAGATGGAGAACGCATTGGCATTGGTTCGTGATGATGCTGGAGTCTGGAGAGACCAAGATGGTCATGTGTGTAATGAGAGAGGCCAGCGACTTGATGGAGAGGGTAACATCATCAGGACGCTGGGTGACTACAACAGGCCTGAGCAATTCTATGCAAATCGGTCCGCGATTCGCGCTCCTGCGTTTCAGAGGAACGATTTTGAGCTCAAGCCTGTGTATTACACTCTTGTGGGTCAGCATCCTTTCCATGGTCTTTCTCATGAGCACCCGATGGATCATATCGAGAGGTTTGAGGACTTGGTCACCAGCATCAAATACAATGGAGTGCCCAATGACTACCTCTTCTGCAAGCTGTTTCCTTATTCTCTTGCTGGAGAAGCAGCTAATTGGCTGAAGCAGTTGGAGCCAGGATCACTGACTACCTGGGAAGAGACCATGAACGCCTTCCTGCACAACTTCTATGACGATGCCAGGTCTGAAGAGTTGAGACTCAAAATCTCAACGTTTTCTCAGGGACCAACTGAAGCATTCAAGGCTGCTTGGGTGAGATTCAAGTCATATCAGAGAGATTGTCCACATCATGGTTTCAGTGATGTTCAACTGCTAGGTACTTTCTTCAGAGGTGTTGATTGGAGATATCAGATGGCTCTTGATGCTGCAAGCAATGGGAACTTCAACACCAGATACCCTGAAGATGTTGTTGTGCTTATTGAGAACTTGGCATCTAGCAATAGTACCAAAAATGCAGACTATCAGCGAAAGAAACAGGGTGGAAACATGGATGGATCGCAGATTGCTGAGGTGAAGGCTAAGCTTGACTCTGTGCATAGCCTTCTAGTGGGTAAGAAATCTGTCCGATTCCCTGCAGAAGTTCAAAATTTCGGACCAGATGAAGCACTTAAGGAAGAGGATGTTAACTTCATTAGTGGAGCTGGATTTCAAGGTCAAAGATTTGGTACTCAGCAAGGGAACACGAATTACAGTGGAAATAATCAGAGGAGTACCTTCACAGGTAATTAGAACTCTTTTGGTTACAGCTCCAAACCTCAGTACCAGACACCCTTTTCCAACAACAGTTTCTCCAGAAATTACAGCACTCCTTCATCTCAACCTCAAAATCCTGACAATGAGATGAAGTCTATGCTGGAACAAATTCTGGAAGGTCAGCAGAAGCTCACCGTGGACTTTAATGGAAAGATGGATGCTCTCTACCTTGATCTGAATGGAAAAATTGAAGTTTTGAACACTCAAGTCAAGAAGCTTGATACTCAGGTTGCTCAAACTGCAGAGTCTGTAAAAAGGCAAGAAGGATTCCTTCCTGGAAAGACTGACACCAATCCTAGGCATTACTGCAGTGCCATCTCGTCAAGGAGTGGTAAAAAGTTGACTCATGTGCTTAAAAAGGGTGTTTCTGAGGATGAAATCGTGGAGTTGGACGAATCTGAAGAAAATTTCGAAGTTGCAGAGCCGGTGTCGAGCGACACCACAACTAGTGTCGCGCGTCACCAATTGCAGAGCAAAGCTGATATTGCTCAAAGTTTGAAATCTGCTGAGGAAAAGGTTTACAAACCTAAGGTTCCTTACCCAAGGAGTCCTAGGAAGTCTAAGCAGGAGATAGATGATGCCAGATGCAAGGCTTTGATGGAGAAACTTGTGATTGAGATTCCTTTGGTTGATGCTGTGAAGATTGCTCCTACTCTCGGACACTATGTGAAGAAGATGGTGACTAATAATCTGAGTCATGAGGAAGGAGTGATGATGATCTCTGAACAGGTCAGTGCTGTGATTCAGAATAAGATTCCAGAGAAGCTCTCAGACCCAGGAAGCTTTGTTTTGGACTGCTCCATCTTCTCAGAGAGGTTCAAGAGATCGCTGTGTGATCTTGGTTCAAGTGTTAACCTAATTTCATACTCTTTAGCTGTTAGCCTTGGAATGACTGATTTCAAACCAACTAGGACCTCTCTAATCCTAGCAGATCGATCTAAAAGAATCCCAAAAGGTGTCTTGGAGGATGTTCCGATTAAAGTTGGTGATTACATAATTCCTATAGATTTCGTGGTTCTGGAATATGGAGAGGAACCCAAAGATCCTCTTATCTTGGGAAGATCGTTTTTAGCTACAGCTAGAGCGGTAATTGATGTCAAGCATGGTAACCTTGATCTCCACTTGGGAGATACCATCATGAATTTCAAGATGGAGAAGCTGAAGAATTCAACCATAGATGGTCAGACATTCCAAGTCAGTGCAATACCTGAAGTGATAGTTGGAGATCAGAACGTGTTTGATGCTGAGAAGGTGAGAGATCAACCTGAGTTGACGAAAACTTCTACAGAACCAGTGACTGCTGTTGCTCAGGAAGCTCAAAACATCATGCTCTATTCATCTCTAGCAAAGCAAAGAGCACTTGGTTTTTCTATTGATGATATTGCAGGGAATAGGTTGAAGTCACCTAAACACAGATCTCACCCTGGTGCTATTCTTGCATTCCTTGGACGACCTCATGCGCACAACGCTTACACACCACCGTGGATGAGACGACTTTCACAGAGGCATTCTTTGCCACTGTCTGATCCACCAGATGCAAAGTCCATCCATCAAGTCAAGCTAATGACTTAAAACAAGCGCTTGGTGGAAGGCAATCCACTGGTAAGTCTGTACATACGTCCTTTTGTTTCAGTTAACTTTCGTTTTTCGTTTTCGTGTTTTAGGTGAAGCAGAGGCTGGTGTCGAGCGACACCACATTCGGTGTCGCCTGTCACTTGTTTCTGTGAAAAAAAAACAAAAAAAAAAATTAGGAAATCAGGAAACCGGAGTCAAACCAGAAATTCGGATTGGTCTGCTGCAATTTGGTACGAGAAGAACAAGTGTCGCACGACACCATCATCAGTGTCGCTCGACACCATCATTGCAGCCAGGTAAGTTCTCTGTTTTTCCTGCGTTTCTCTATTTCCTTTCTTTTGTTTCACCAACTACGGATTTGATTACACTGGGGACAGTGTTATTCAAGTCTGGGGGAGGTAGTTGCTGAC